AGGTAAGGAAGATTTGTAGCTAGTTTAACTTGCTCCTGAAGACAGCGTCCATTAGTAAAGTATTTTCAAGAAGGGATGCCAGAATCCTGTATTTACCCATATCCAAAGACATGATGATTTGACTATAAAAGAAACAGAATATATTGATTAAATTCGCAGAAAGAACAAAATTGCAAAAAATAGCTATTATATGAAGATTCCAAACTATATTAAAAAGCCCAATAATGGACTAAAACTAACAAAGTAAAACTGAGCAGGCTATATAAATGTTTATGTACTTAGATAAGAAATGTCAGTTCTTCAAGTACAAAATCGGAGTCAACTGGCTTTAAAACATTCTCTATTAAAATGACCTAAAGTTTTGAACCAAAGATATGAACTGGTAGCACACAAAAAATAAATAATAATAATGCTTTTGAAATAGAGAGACCACTGGGAGAATATCCTGTTTGCTGGAGATAACAGCTCTACCAGCTGATCAGACCACACTCAAAGAGAGCTTCAATTCTGACACCACTCCTAGAAGAAACTTCAACAAACTCCAGGGTGTTGACGAGTCTGGTGACCAGGCTACACAAGGGCCAGCAGAAAGAGCTCCCACCATCACCTAGAGAAGAAAAGGTTTTGAAAAAAGACACATACTCCTTTGATTTTGTGATTTATTCTTTGTAGCACTTGGAAAACAAACTTCAAATCAATTAAAGTAGGTATTGATTTCCTCCTTGGAGAATGAAGAACTTTAAAATAAAACTGTTAAAAATTCTATAGGCTCTCATGTAAAAGAGTTAGCCTCAACCCCTGGCCGGCCCTGCCCTGGAAAATGAGGTTGAATGATGCGCCACCAATGGTGGGATGGAGGGGATTCCTGCGTGTCAGGACCTTGAACTCGGCAGCCTGTAAGTTTTTTCTACCTCTAGATTCTTATGCTTCCAAGAGGTTTCCACCATTTTCCCTTTGTTTAGTCTTATCATTCATTTTTAATTCTCAATTAACTCAAGTCTTAGTTAGCCTAACACTTTTTATCTAAGAGTTGCATGTAAGCACAGATCTTACAGGTGACCACCCTTCAGTTCTTGGTTTTAGATACTGTATGTGCTCCATAGAAAGGTGCTACTAATACTGCATGGCCAGAGCCTCATCAGTTACCAGTTGAATGAGAAAACATCCAGTTTCCCTGTGGTACTCTAAAAACAACAAAATGCTCTGGTGGTTATTGGAACAGAAAATTATAGTCTCCCACCCCATGTCTGATTTTAGGTTGCCCATTTCAAGGGGCTTATGGCAAATAAAAAGAAGAATGTGAAATGTATTAAAGACTCAGTTATATATCGTAAGACATGTCATATTTCAACGTATACAGCCTGATTCCTAAATTAAGGATATTGAAGCCTGGCTATTACAATCCTTGAGTGGCAATAAGAAGTGATGGTTAGAATACTAGACCAGAGCTGTTAAGACTATTGGTCAGTAAAACCCAAACGGATACATGAACATGAGTGTGTAACTCATGAGTATAACTAAGATGGCCCTTTGTGGGGGGTGGGGGTTTCACGTGCTGTGAATGGCATTCTTTGAATGTATGTTTGGTTGAAAAATATTTTCACAGACTGGGCCTGGTGGCTTGTACTTGTAATCCAAGCACTTTGGGAAGCTTAGGCAGGAGGATGGCTAGAACCCAGGAATTCTAGACTGCAGCAAGCTGTGATTATGCCACTGCATTCCAGCCTGGATAACAGAGCAAGACCCTGTGTCTTAAAGAAAACAAAACAAAAAATATATATATGTGTGTATATATATATATATATATATATATGTGTGTGTGTGTGTGTAGGTGTATATATATATATATATATATATATGTATGTAAAGAGAGAGACAAAAAAAAAAAGTTTGCAAAAAAGGTGGACCCTCCCAGTTCAAAACCATGGTCAAGAATCAGCTGTATTGGGTAGTATACAGCCATCAGATGTGGGGTTGCCTTAAGTATGCCCCTAAATAGATCAAATCAAAGCTGCAAAACACTGGTTAGGAGAAGAGGAATGGTGTTAGCATTTATCGTACTTTGTGTGTCAGATGTTTTCCTGTACAATTTCCACATCTTAAGTCATTTAATCAGATAGTAATTTGATCCCAGGAGATAGCAGCTGTAAAAATTTAAAGTTAACAAAACTTGCTGCTGCTTCTCAACCTACCCACAAAACTATCTTAGATCTGTCATTGAAGTAAATGAACATCTTAGCCCTATGCCTAAGAGATAGGACCTACAATTGGGGTAGACTAGTTTATAAGTGTATTCCCTCTCCCAGCATTCAACTTCCAATGAGGTATTTCTTTAGACCTCTTTAAAAATTCCATTGTGTGGCTCCGTGCCTGTAAGTCAGTGGTTAGGGTGCCAGCCACACATACCCAGGCTAGAGGGTTTGAACCCAGCCCAGACCTGCTAACAATGACAACTACAACAAAAAATAGCTGGGTGTTGTGACAGGTGTCTGAAGTCCCAGCTACTTAGGAAGCTGAAGCAAGAGAATCACTTAAGGCCAAGAGTTGGAGATTACTGTGAGCTATGATGCTACAGCACTCTATTGAGGGTGACATAGTGAGAATCTGTCTCAAAAAAAAAAAAAAAGAAAATTGTCCTCATGGATATAATTCAGACCATCTAAGTCTGTTCCATCTATTCTGTTTTCCTCATTAGAAATGTGCTCATCTGTTAGGACCACAGCAATCCCTAACTCTCCCAGGGGTGAGATGAACCTGCTGCCCCCTACAGAGGGCAGACTTGAGAGTGACCATCTGTCTTCCTGTGGCCAGAACCCTTTCACTGTCCTCTCTGCAGCTGCTCCCCTCAAGCGCCTGTTCTCCCCACGCTTGTCTTACCTTCTTTTCCCGAATCCTCTCGTGTTTCTACTTGACCACATCATCCTGCTGCCTTTTCACCTGCTCCCCAAATTCCTTCTTATCCTCCCTCCACCTCTTCCCCACACATCTCCTTGGCCTACTCATATCCCACCAGCCCACTCTCTCATCTTCTCTCGCACCCTCCTGTTCAAGTGCACCCCTGGTGGACTTGTGTCCTCTGAGTAATTTTCCCATTAGCTTGCACATGTCTTCCTAACTTTTCAGTCCATCACTCTAATCCCCAATCATTCCTCTTCTTTGTGTGTTGGAAGAATATCGACCTTTATGACTGTTTTCTGACTTTTTCTCGCTTCCTATTCATCTTTCCATGCCATTAGCTTTCTCTCCTTCCTTATAATTCAATTTCCCATTCCACCTGGCACCTGTCTACTCCTCAATTCATTTCCTTGTGATCTGTGATTTCTTGCTTTAGAGCAGTGTTTTTCAATCTAACTCATGGCACACTTTGAACCTACAGTTAAACTGTGGCACACTTAAATTATGCTGATCAAAAAAAAAGTAAAAAAAGAATATGCTTACTGTGCTTTGAACTTCAAAAATAATGAACAATCTTTAAAAATTTCCTATGGCACACCAGTTGAAAATCACTACCTTAGACCCTCAGGCCCCTTCCCCCCCAATCTCCAGATCTGTGCCCTTTTTCTCTGCTATCTAAACTTATTTTAAGATATATTTTCTTCTATGGTTATTTCCTTCTCTCTCCCAGTTGATGTTTTGCTATCTCTCTGGCACCAGCCCTCTTCCCTTTTTATAAAGATTGGTTGTCTACACTCCTCTCATTGTCCCTCTGTCCCTTAACACACTGAAGCAGGACCTGAAGCATCGAACCAGGAAGGTCTAGCTGATGTTTCCTCCTTCATTGCCTTTTTATCATTGGCCTAATTTGATTCGCCATGAGGATAGAAGCTCTTCCTGCTCCATGTGGATGCAAACCAGTCTGTGCAATGGAACAGGAGGGAGGTGTACATGGGCCCATCCCCCTCACGCCCGTTCATTTCTGAGCTGCTGGTCCAGATGACAAGGGGGCATACTCGATCTGTGTTTAAAAAGTCTCTCTCATTCCCTCCTCTCCTCATACCCCACACCTCAAGCTGCCACCAGAGCTTCCCAGATTAGCACCCAAACTCCAAGGGTGACCATAAACACGGTGGTGGTGAACTGTAGTCTATAGGTGAGAGTCAAGTAAGAAACGGCAAGTGATCAGTTAGGAGATAATCAAGGTGTCCAGCATCGTGCCTTGTCTTTTGCTGCCTCTGCAAGCTGGGGCAGGGAGACAGAGGGGTGCCTTTTTCCTGGGGGTGCCATGGCCCTACTCCTGTACAGGTGGGAACTACTTGCCGTCCCATTCTAGGTGCTTCCTACCCCTCACTCCTCCTCCCTCCCTGCACTTCCACAAAAAACATAAACGCTTTGGGAAAATAAATCACAGTTCACAATACTAGAGACTTGACCTCAAATATCCTAAGACTTCTCTTGTGATCCTATCCTTGGGGCCCACATTTCAGTGAGGCCTAGACTCAGGTTTGCTCAGGTTTAGTCTGGGTCTAGGAATAGAACGTAGTTAAACGGCAGAACCAAAGGAAAAGCACAAGATACCCAATTCCTTCTTCGGCAGGAGAGATGGGCCCAGGGAAGATACCAGACTTCATGGGATCATGCCCAATGGAGACCTCGCCCAAGGACAGGATTACATCCCACAGCTGGTCAGCTGTGTGGAAGGAACAGAGTTCTCACTCAGCATGAGAAAAACCCAAGGTGGGACCAGTTTACTGTTACACTGGACACTCTGCCTCATTTGTTTAGCAAGGACAGGAAACAAACAAAACCTGATACAATGTTCAGAAGTAACACAGGTCACCCTTTTTCTTTAGGGGTGTAGAGAGAAGGAAGGGCCAGCCCTCCTCCTCCTCAAATCAACATCCATCAAGACAAGTCTGTACAGGGGGTGGGGGAGAGAAGACATTAACCTCCCACCCCAGGCAACACAGTCCACAGACTTTCAAACACTTTAGTCACTGGTCCTCTGCACGGGCCCCGCCCTGTCCCACCGAGGCGTCTCTCTTCACTCTGCGAACTCGCAGCTAGGACACTTGGCTGCTCCTGTTGCCTTCTCTGGCCTCTGCCAGTGCCGAGGGCTGCCCCAGGGAAGCAGTGGGCTGCTCTCCTTGTACCTTGCTGAGTAAGGGACCAGTTCCTGGTCTGGCCCCTTCAGGCAGCTGGGTGAGTCCTGGTGACAGCTGCCTACTCGTTGTCTGAGCAAAGGGAGCCGAAAATAGATCAGAGAAGTAGCCATCTCCTCCAGGGGGATGTCCCAGGCTTTGTGGGCAGAATGAAGCAGAGAAAGGCAGCTCTGGCATACAGGGGTCAGTCCAGGAGATCGTGCCTATGGGGTCCAGGAGGAAAGGAATTACTGGACAGGACTACCACATACTCAGTGTGTTCTGAGACAGATCAGCATCCCCCATCCACAGAAAAACAGTAAGACCCCCGGGCAAGTCTGGGTGAATGAAACACCAACACCACTGGGCTCTCCTTTCAGGACCAGACATGTCCCCAGACTCAAGGTCCTGTGGTTTGGCAACATCAGCACAGTGGATAACCCTGTCCACACAGGCAGCAAGGAGACCAGGACCACCTGGACATGTCCTTCATCCCCTTCTGTTAGAATTTAGTCTTAATTAGATGGATGCTTCTGGGATTTCAGAGGTCCCAGTGGGTCAGCAGAGGACTAATGCAGGGCCCACACCTGTGCCAAGTATTCTCACTCACCTGTTCCTAATCCTCACCAAACTCTAGCTGGTAACTGGCCAAGCAGGACTTCTAGCCTCAGTTTCCCTACTGTCAAACCCCAAAGCTCTCCTGCTGGTTTTTACTTTGCTTTGCAGCCTCCAAGAAATTCAAAGAAGAGCTTAATAAAGAGCAGTAGGGGGCCCCCATGCCCTGCTGCAGCCTGCCCTCCACATCATGGGGCTCCCTGTCCTTCTCCCCTTCTTTAAGCACAAAGGGGCCCTTCCATGTCCAGTCCCAACTCACCCATATTCCCAGCAGGTGGCTGCAGCAGCATCTGCCCTGACGGGAAGCCTGGGCAATATCCCTGTGACGTGCCCCCACCAGAGCCACAGGGAAATGTAAAGAGAGACGCTTCTGGCAGCGGGAGTGGCAGGGAGCTGGGCCCAGAGTAGGGGAAATAAGGGAGGGATGGGAACTGGGGCTGTGGGGGCTGAAACCGTCGACTCTGAGGGCCCTGGGGCAGTGGGCATGGGCCTGGCTGGTTGCTCTGCTGGTAATCCTGGGGCTCCAGATCCTCCAAAAATGAGCAGGGAGGTGGTATAGTGATGCTGCGAAGGACAGAGGAGTGTTTGGTATAGCACAGGGGCGTCCCTCCCTCCTGCCATCTCCATGGTGACCCCAGGCTTGCGCACCACATCTGCCTCCTCCTCTTCCTGAGACATGCTTTGATATCTTAGATGGCTCCCACCCTAAACCCACTGATCTCTCTATTCCCATCTTATATACTGTTTTTTGCTCCTCTCAGTTAAGCTTTTCCCCTCCCAGAGTCTACTTACCTTTTCTCCCCTTATGCCCACCCCAAGATAACATGAGCCTTAGATTGCATACCTCGTCCCCCAGGACCCACATGGGCCATCCTTGTGGCTTCCGTCAGGACCAGGGACATCCATCAGCAAAGGCATCGGTGGGGAGGTGTGGACAGGGCCAAGGGGAAAAGGAAAGTTGGCCCTTCTAACAGGTGGGGGGCTGAAGAGCGGAGGGGTCACCACCCTCTGACCACCCTCACTCTGTTGGGTGGCAGCCAGAGTCTGGTCAGAAGTCAGCAGCATGGGGGCCTCTGAAAGGCAGAAAACAAAGAGGGGCTACAGGGGTAAGAATGTGGCGAGGCAGGTTTGGGACTGCTGAGTGTTAGAGCAATGCCCAGCCCTGCTTGAACCAGTCCCACCAGCTATACTGGAGGGCTCTGGCCACTCCCACTGCTATCAAGCAAAGCCACTCTGTCTTCATTATCTTCTTAGCATCTACTCTACCCAACTAACTCTCCCAAGGTAGGCGCTAACCTGGAAAGGTGTCCAGAGGTGTCCCCTGAGGGAAAGGATCGTGCTTTGGGTCTGAGGGCACAGTAGGCAGGAGCTTGGCTGCAGAGCTAGAAGCAGACAGAATGGAGACTGAAGCTCTGGTGGTCTCTGGATTTAGACTGGACTCCAGTTCAGGGGGAAAAAAAACCCCACCAGACTCCAAAACTTTGCCTCCTGAAAGGCTCTGGCAACTTCTCAATCCCATCTCAGCCAAACTGGCTCTAAGTAGCAGCCAATAGCCCCTGGACTCAAGCCCATCCTTTCAACGCTCTCCCCCAGGTTGAAGGATCCCAGCTTGGATCCTGTTTCTACCCATGGGGATGATATGCAAAGAGACATTGTCACCTGCTCTGACCACTGGCAGGGCCAGGGGCCAGGGGTGCAGAACCGTCCTTGTTTTCTTTCCCATTTAGTTTCTCCATTTTTCTCCACTTGGCCCGGCGATTCTGGAACCACACCTAATAGGGGAGAGGCACTTGAAGATCATTTGAGAAAAAGGGTAGAGACTTGGGCCGACTGTCACTCAGTGAGCTATAGGACTTTAGGGGGTCACTTCCCTTTGCTTCAGTTGCCCCTGTCAGGTTGGTTTTATAACAGGCCTCCATGGTGCCTTTCTCTTCTCCTTGTCCAAAGTCTGTGGCACTGCAGACTCAGGTAGAAGCACAGCGGCACCCAAGCCCTAGTCAGGCTGCCACTGAGCATAGTCCTCTGCCACTGGGGCATTCCAGTCGTGGGGTCCTCTGCACCCCCCACCAGCCAGCCCAGCCCCTTTACCATGATGCGCTGGGGGGTGACCCCCACAGTCTGCGCAATCTCCCGGCGTTTGTCACTGTCAGGATAGTGGTCTTCTTGGAATATTTTCTCCAGCTCCTCCAGCTGGTCTGGAAGAAGAAGAAACTTGCACAAGAAAGTAGAACACCACTGCCAGGGCAGGAGAGGAGATGCCCCCAGGTGTCTCTAGCAGATGGGACACTGTACCCAACCCGGGCCCTCCCCAGGACCTTACACAGCTAAGTTTCCCACTGGGCTGGGTCTTCTTGCTCTTGGGCATAATGGCAGAGATCTGTGTGATTTTTACTGTCCTTACCCTTCTATCCTGGTCCCAACCTCACTTTCTGGTGAGATAACTCAAACTTCTCCTCTGAGGGTCAGAGATGGTGGCACTGCCATAGCCCAAGAGAGGGTCCAGGACAAAGTGACATATGAACTAACCATATCCCTCTGGGGTCCTAGGGCTACATTCTCTGTGTGGCCCCTTTACCAGGATGGCACCAGATTTCTCAGATCTCACCTGAGCGGTACAGGGTTCGAGTCTTTTTCCGAACTTGGCAGGTCACTTCTGGGGGCCGCTTTTTCTGGTCTGTGTTTTGGGTGCTCTGGGCCAAAGTGCTGAGAAGGTTGGCTAGGTGGCAGGGCCCCCGGCCTGACCCACAAGGTACTGGGTTGTGTGGGGTGCAGACTGAGTTAGAGACACCCGGAGATGATGTTGAGGCCACAGCATTAGGCTTTTTCTGCTTACTAGAGACTGGAGAAGAGGGTTTTTCCCCTGTCTTCACCTCTCCTGGGAGGGAACAACTTTCCCCATGAGGCTGGGGTCCAGGCGTAGCCAGAGTTCTATCTTTGTGGAGCACCCTGGAGCTGGGTGGCTGCCACAGTCTCCCAGCACGAGCGCCAGTTAGTCCTGTGGAGACCTCTGGTGTCTTCTCTCCTGACATGGCGCAGGGGAGTACTGGATCCTTGTGTGGGGCATCACTGGCATGAGCGGCTGAACCCCACAACTCAGCAGCCAGGGCCTTGCTTCCTCCTTCCCGGCCTGTGGGGAGCCAGCATCCACTGACCTTAGCACCAAGGAGAAGGCAAAGCCTGGACTAAGAGAAAGTGTGCTTCCTATTCTACAACCGACTTGTTTGATCTTAAGCTTTATTTTGCCAACCTCATGAATGAGCTAATAATTCCAGGCTTATTTTCCTAACTCGACTTTTGTGAGAATCAAATTAGAGAACCCAATGGCTTTGAAAAATTAAACCAAATGCATGCAGCACTAAGAGGTTTTAGCTTACAGTACCTCCTAATTTGAGGGTGATCACTCCTGGTGAGCTCCTTTTTCCCTGGACACCAAGGGTATGAGTTTGAGGGACAGATATCTGTTTGGGGATTTCTAAAGAATAATGTTTCAGGTAGGTATAGACTAGGAAGATAGAGGGAAACAGACTGACTGAGATTCTGCTCCTGCTACAGAATAGGAATTTTCACTGGGAGAAAGGAAAAGGCAGGATTAGATCCTCTGCAGAAGCCCAAGCAAGGACATTAAAGTAGGCAGCACCTCACCTTCCAGAGAACCCACTTTGTCTCCACCAACCCTCCTCTGCCCCATATGTGCCCTATTTCTCCCAAAAGCACACCCGTTTTCTCTTCCTCCCTGCAATACAGAAGCTCACTCCCAGGCCACTCTCTTTTTCAGGTAAGGAAGGAGTGACCAGATGGAACTAGCCATACTCCCCAACCCACCCCCTCACCCTTCCTGATCTTTCTCTTCCTTTCTCTGAGCCCAGGGGTTGGTGAGGCCCTTATTATGTCTGGGCTTGGAGCTGAGCACCCCACAAAGGTCAGAGTATGCCCTTAATCCCTGTGAGAAAGGCACTATTACTATCTCCTAACAGATGAAGAAAGGATTAGAAAGTTCAGTAATTTGTCCAAGATCACCCAGCACAGTGAGCACATATTCTGATACAGAGCCTTTCCAGGGCCACCAAATGCTGCCTCCACCTTCACCTCCCAACTCACTCAACTACTTCATTATTTCCAACTAAACTAGAGTATTTGTAAATGGATGTTCACTAGGAACTAAGAGCTATCGTTATTTTAATGAAACTTGAATGAGAGATAATGTCTTAAGTGATGACTCCTAACAACCTGTAAAGAAAGATGGAAGGACCGCGGCTATGGTTACTTCTCAGAAGGTTCGGCCCGACTTTCAGGAGGGTGTCTGAAATCAGTGAAGAGGGCGCGCAGGCCTGACTCCATAGGGTGATGGGGCAAGGCGGATGGTGGGATGGGGAAGGAGTGTTCCCGCATTTCAGAGAGCTTGCAGAGCAGTAATGAACCAGGTGCGTGGTACCTAGTACCTACCTGATCACCCCAGCCATTTACCTCATTTGTAAGAGGTCAGGCGTCAGAACCTAGACAGAAGGGCTCCCAGGAGAACCTAACTCCAAAGAGCAGGGAGAGGTGAGGGCGGCCTCTTCCAACCCTACCCACCCCATCTCCAGACCTTCTGCCTACCGAGGCTCTCAGGCCAGAGGCCACCCAACTCTGGGAGCCACCCAAGCCAGGCCCTGCAGACGCCCCGCTTGCTCACCCCGCGATTCCTCGCAGGGCTGCTCCGTTGGCTCCATGGCCTGGACTCCCACCGCCCCCAGCTGCGCAGTCGCTGCCTAATGAAGCCTCGCCAGCCCGCAGGTGCGCGGCCGGCCTGCAGGTGCGCGGCCAACACGCCTGGGGAGACGCCGAGCCTGCCCCCCTCACCGCAGCCCCGGGGCGAGGCCGGCCCAGGACTCAGGGCTCGGGCGTGGGGCAGCTGCGAGGGCTGTGGGCCAGGTGCGAGTCTCCTCTGGCGGGGGCGGGGAAGCGAGACCATGGGGGGCCCTCCGAGGCCTGGCTGGGCTCACCTGCAGCCTTGGCGACTAGGTCTTGGGTAGTGCTTTGGGCTTGGAACACAGGGGCCCTTCTGCGTGAAACATGGAAAACCACTTCTGGTGTCACGAAGGAAACCCAAACGCTGGGTTGTCTATCTCCCCCTACCCCCCACCCCCGGAATCTCTCCAACCCTCAGGATTAATGAACCCAAAGTCCTGTACTGATTTGAGGGTCCTTAGCTGCACTCAAATGCTGACAAGTGAGCTGGAAGAAATCACAATAAAAGGGAAGCTGGACAGAGCACACGCCTGTGTGAGGCCAGGAGGTTCGCAGGTAAAACCAGAAGGCACTCGCCAGCTGGGGTTTGGTTATTATGTTTCTACCCGTTTGATATCTCAGTATGATTCTCCGAGAATAGAAGAGACTCTTAGGAGTGATCTCACAAGGGTGAATTTTTCTGATTCCTACTTCATCGAATGTTTCCTACCTGCTTTATAAAAACAAAATCAGAATTTAAAAGTACTTCTTGCCTCTTCCTTCTGCTGCTGAGTGAGGAGGAAGTAGTGAGTGGAAGGGCTGGCCAGACTGAAACAGGTGTTTGGAGCGCAGGGGGTTGGTGCTCCAGGACAGAACCCAGGTGTTTTGTTTTTAGGATTTAAAACACTATGGACACTAAGTGCTTTTTGTGCTACAATCAGCTGTCAGGACATTTTGAACGGCTTGGTCTACACGTGTGGACTTTGTGAGAGCTCTGTTTTTTTTTCCCCCTGAAACATAAAAATGTCAACTGATTAACTTCACACCAATTTGATCAAAACCCCGGCATCTGATGTTCCATTCTAACTCCTTCCATAAAATGAAGATTCTCTGGTTTATGAAGGATTTAAAAATAGGACTCAGTTTTTCTGCTAGAAATGAAAAATTTGGCCATGCACAGTGGCTTATGTCTGTAATCTCAACACTGGGAAGCTGAGGCAGAAGGATCAATTGGGGCCAAGAGTTCAAGACCAGCCTAGGCAACATAGCAAGACCCTGAATTCCACAATAAAGAAAAATATAAAAATTAGACAGGCATGTTGGTGAGCGCCTGTAGACCCAGCTACTAAGGAGGCTGACGTAGAAGGAGGGCTTGAGGCCAGGAGCTTGGGGCTGCAGTGAGGTATGATAATGCCACTGCACTCCAACCTGGGCAGTAGAGCAAGACCCTGTCTCTAAAAAAACAAGGAAAAAGAAAAAAGGAATGAAGTATTCTAGGCCGTGTGAGCAAGGTGAGGGGGGCAGTGAAGTTGCTTTCCATGTGAAGAATCAATCTTATTTGGTAAATGGAAATTGTTTGCTTTGTTAAACATTTATAGTACACCTACTGTATACCAGGGACTCTGGGTAAATCACTTCTTTTTTTTTTTTTGCAGTTTTTGGCCGGGGCTGGGTTTGAACCCACCACCTCTGGCATATGGGGCCAGCGCTCTACTCCTTTGAGCCACAGGCACCTCCCAGTAAATCATTTCTTTACCCATAGAAGCTAACTTGCAATTGACAGATTAGAACAATAACACAGTCAAATGTATCATGTCAATATGATGTGGTCGGTGGAGAGTTAGAGCTATGCACAGGCTAATACAGGCAGGAAAGGGCAGGAACCTCTCCTGGGTTAAGATAGAGGTTTCTTGAAAAGGGTGATACATGAACTATGAGCTGTAAAGTTTACCATGGCACAGTCCCACTTGAAACTACAGTGGCCCCTGACTGCCAGGTAAAGATCAAGCTCCTTAACTTGAGAGAAGAGGCTTCCAAAGTCTGGCCCTTTCCTCTGTATTTTCAGCTCCCCTCGTCCCATATTTGGGCATTTCAGTGTGTTTGTTTGTTTTATTTTGTGTCTCTTTGGACCTAATGTTTCTCAAACAGTTTTCTTAAATCCCCCTGGATTAGAATTTCTGAGGGAATTTGTTTAAAATGAGGCTCCCATGCCCCACAGCCAAGAAATCCTTCCTAATGGGCAGGTCCAAAGAGAGACCCAGATAAAACTACACAATTTTAACAAGCCCCTCAGGTGATTTTTATACATGTCAGAGTGCAAGAGACTCTTAGATTTTTCAAAGCAAAGTCAATTAAAACTATACTGGGAGTGTGAGTGGGGGCCTGTGTGGGGAAAGGAAGTGACCTTTTGTCCTTTACTAAGGTGTCTGCTGGAGCCAGAAACTGGACACAACTTCTTAACAGATTATCCTATTGCATGAAGTTACAAATAAAGCATTGCCCTCCTACCTCATTTCTGCTGTATTTCCTCTCATTGGCTGGCTGCCTTCTGCCAGGTTGAAATCAAAAAGCAAAGATCCAAAAGCAAAGATCACCCCTAGAGCAGATGCCTCCCTACACAGAACTTGGAAAAAGCCATGGGGTCTAACTGTACAAAAAGGTTTGCATTAGGGACGTAGAGAACTGAAAATTCTGGCATTTTTCCAGACACATCATAGAATGTTTTTATAAGTGATATAGTTGGGTGTTTTGTTTATGTAAACAAATTTTATTTAATGGCTGCAAGTGTGTTTTATCTCAGACGTACATGGACTTGGGAAAATGTCTTCATGTGTTTTGTTGGGAGGGTGTTGCGTTTACCACACATGCTATTAAGTCATATCTGCCATGATCAACTTCAGAATGAAGATTTGCCATGGAAATTAGAATACTTGCTTGAGGAAAGACTGCTCAGTTATTCGGAGGACAACAAACTGTTGTTTCAGGGGAATTTGAGGATCTTTCTTTCTGAGTCCTGTTTGGGTACGTTTCCTCTCCATGGTCTTTTGACTAGTTCATATACTCAACTTTGTTTAGAGGGAAGGGAGTTTTTTTTGTTCTGTTTTGTTTTGTTTTCGTTTTTTAGTTTTCAGAGCCAAATTGTAAACCACCACCACTACTGCCCACTTAGCAAGAGCCATTTATGGCAACGTCTTTCTCTTCTCATGGATGTGAGAATGACAGAATAGAAAGAAACATACCTGATGTTACTAAAAAATATAGGCAATCTTTCTTCCAGTCTACATAGAGTTGACCACATAACTAGGTTAAGCAAGTGACATAA